ACGTTCCTTCGGGTGAATCAGACGATTTTGGGGGGCTCGGGGGGGGATGGGATGCCCCTTGGGGAGGGCCCAGAGGGCTCCTTTGGCTTCCAGAGGGGGGTCATCCAACACCCTTCCGTGCGGGGGGCGAGCGCGAATCCGAATCGCTCCCCTTCCTTCAACGCGACGGGGCGAGCCACCTCGTTGTCGGCCCCGTATGCCCCCTCCGGGGTGATGATTCGCATGCCGGAGGATCTGAAAAAGCGACTGACCAACCCGCAGACGTCGCCGCCTCCTTCTTTTCCCCTTCCGCCATCTTCCGCCCGCGTTCGTCAGGCCGAGCAGCACCAGATCTGAGAAGCGCCCGTTGGCGTTAATCTGCTCTCGTACACCCCTTTGGGTGTATCCTCAAACGCCGTGCTCATGAAATAAATGACCGTGAAGGAAGAAAAGGAATAGAAGAAAAAAAAATCAGAAAGGACATGAGTAGCTTGGGGAGGACTCCATTCTACGTTTTACACGATACGCGTGATCGTGATGTAGTAATTATATAACCATTTTCATCAGTCTTTCTTGTCTCACCCAAGCTTACTCTCTTTTATAAGTGATGAATAAATTTAATCAATAAGATAAATATACCATCATTATCCCTAAGTCCACTTCTTATGACCCTGTCTTCTGTATTAGATTAGCCATATATATATAAATATGTTAACACTCCTGTATCTTTAATTTTATACAACATGCATTACTACTGTGAGTCAGTTTTTTCCTTTTGAAATCCTTTAGGAGTTGTGTGGTTAAAAAAACAAAAAAGGCTATTTTATTAATGCAGAGCAAAATATGTCAAATTTATTTCCACATGTGATCTCTAGAAAATAAGTAATCAGCAAGTAAGCTGGTATACACTTACATATTCAATCTTTACCATGTTAAAAATTATGCTCTTAATTTAAAATGTTAAAAGAGATAGTATGTCATGCTTAGACTGATTCATATTTTCCTTAATTATGTCTCAAACTTTGCATAAATGTTGAGATTGATGCCATTTAGAATAATTTATACAACAAAACTTTCATATCCAATGATAGGTGACTTTCTTTACACCATTTTATTTTTGTAACCCATATCGTAATTCCTTCTTCCTCCTTTATTAATTGATTAAAAACTTGAAATGATAAAGAAAAAATATTAAAAGAGCGTCTTCAGTTGAATTTTCGCACTGAGCGATAACTCACACGCATTCACACAGATCTGTGTGCGCAATTACTTATCCCACCATTAAGATGTACCTCTTGGTTCATCATAGTAGTTGGGTATTATGTTAAACGGCAAAACCTCTCAAATGCATCTTTTCTATCATTGCTTTTTTTTCGGAGGACGTTGTTCAACTTTTGATGGCATCAATCATGTGGAAAGCGGATGAACATCAGCCTCTTCTTTAGATGCCGTGAAGGCCGCTGAGGGGACGGAGGAAACTATGAGGTTGGGCGTAGAAACCGACAACTGGAATAAGAAGATGGATGAGATAACTTTGAAGGTTTATATTTTGCATTAAATGGGGTTATTTATGCAATGAGAGGTTGTGAAAAGTATGAACAGGCCTTTTTCATATAGAAAGTTCGCGCTTCTTTCTACAAAGTAAGTGGAACACTCTTTGAATTGCATTATTGATATCTTTACACGCATGCAAAGCGGTTTGAAGTGGGGTGCACACACACAAAAAGATAAAAATATCTCTATATAGCATCACACATTTAAATCCAATTTAGCTTCATGCAGACTTCTAATAAATGTTTAATGCATACATTTCCCATCCCCCTCCCCCCCCCCCCCCCCACCACACACAAAAAAAAAAAAAGATGAAAATTCTTACTTATCGAAGCCAGGTAAAGGGATCTATAAAACACAAAAGCAGCTGTTAATGGTAGCATAAATGAATTTTTTTTATTGAAAAAACATTCACTTATTGATTTGGTGTTTATAGTTTTCACACAATATCTGTGTTAAGTATTAGAGATAATTTACTCTTTTTTAAGGTCCAATCCCGTGATTATTTTGCCCTTGTCACTGTTGCTATGACCGCAAAACCATAAAATAACAAATTGGCTCTTATTTTTTTTTCTATGTGATTTCGTTAAGGGGGAAAACCAAACAACTTGAAAAATGGTTCCTGTTCCCTTCAACACTGCCTTCATTAGTGTTTATAAATCTAAAAGATAGTGCGTGTTTTCCCTTTTAGCTGAACCTCAGCATATGTCTCCAACATCCTCCCCACCTAACACTCCTTTTCCATTATTGACTCTTGCTGTAGTCCATTTTATAGAAACCCTGCACGCACTGGGCCCACGACGCGTCCTATAGAGGAAACCCATTAACGAGAATAACCCCCCCAAAAAAATAGAACCCGACCCACCCCCCTACCACCCATCATACCCCGCGACCCGATTAATTCTCGGCCTTTTCGCGACGTTGACGGGAGATGTCCTCGCAGGAGTTTTCCCGGTCCGCCGCCGCCGCCGCGGTGGGTCCGCCCGAGCCCCCGCGCACCATCCGGACGGCGCCCCTGCAAATGGCCCCGATCCCGCCCGCGGACGACCCGATCCCCCTCCCCCGCCCGGGGTCGTTTCCCGTGGAGTTC